CGCGTTTTGTGTAAACTAATTCATGCTTGATCGGCCAAGTGCGTGCGCGCGCTGTGTGTACACACACACACACACACACACACACACACACACACACACACACACACACACACACTTATTTATTTATTTATTTATTCCGGAATTTTCAGAAAAGTCCACTTTCATCTCTGATATATATACTGTATATATTTCTGAACCGACATCATTCTTTGACTGCCTGTATACAATATTGTCTTTTTTAATATTTATTTATTTTTATTTGTTCATCCAGTTTTCATCTCCAAATTCAAGTTTTTGTCCAATGCGGAAAAGCAGGGGAGGAACGATGAGGCCAAAAGGGAAAACAGTGACAGCGAAACACATCTTCCACGAGCAAAAGATGACGAGGAGGGTAGTGACAGAAACGAAGAACCAGCTTTGGATGAGGACGGAGATCTCGACGTCGTACATCGGTAGTGTCCCTGTTCCCTGTTCTTCCAAAATATATGGTTTGGTCTTTGCCCTTCATTTACATACCGTTGTTCATGTTTGACAATACTTTTATGTTAGTTTGTGCCATTCATTAGGCCAAGTAAAATGTGATCTTGGATATTTACAGTCCCGTTTTGCTTTTCTTAAGACCGAGGAATAATCCCACAGAGGAGCGCAGCAGGGAAGTCGTCTGCCCTGTCATTCTCAAACAATCACAGAATGCCACACTACAAGATGAAGAAAATACTGACGATGGAGCAGATGAGTGCTTTGATGATGTCATACGGATCGGTAAGTAGCAACCCGTTTTGGTGCTGTTGTATCTGGTGTCGTTATTGTTGTTTTTTTTTTTGTTGTTATTTGTCAACGTTTAGAATGTTGATGCAATTGACATTTGAAAAGAAAATGTGAAAGTGATGATATTATATATTAATAATATTGGCTCACTCCAGGTTTGCTTATTTTAAGGGCTCTTGGTCCACTTGTTCAGTGATGGAAATGCCATATAAGCCTCCTAGATATACTGCATAACATATGACGACTACTACTCCTACTAATAATTCAATGTTAAGAAGTAAGTAAGGCATCAGCTGCACAGTTTAACTGAACTTAAATTGCCCCAATTGATTACCGGTAATTGTTTGATTCATGTACTTTTTGATAGACATAGGGCTGCCATGTTTTAAGTTCTTGCTAGAAACACCTACTATTTTAACGGAACATCACGGTTTGCTTGAACTGTATAATTATGCACACATACAGTATGAAGCCCACACTGAGACAGATTGTGTACAGTTTTCATTAAAATTGTGATAAAATACGCAGGCTAAACATTTAATTGGGGGACATTAAAAAAGATTTTTCTTTTTTTGAATGTATTTTTGCAGAACATACGATGGCAACACCCTTGGAGGATGTTGGCAAACAGGTTAGTAAAATTTGACTCATTCATTTTGAATATTTGTGATAACTCCAGGCCACTATATGTTTTTTATGAGTGTTTTATGGTTTAAAAGGCAAAAGCAAACGTTTATATGACATTATACAGAGATGAAAGTCCTCCGGATTTTCCCGGAATTCCAGGTTTTTCAAATTTTTATGAAAATCTGTCCGGAGAATTGACGAAAATTTGCCGAAAATTAATCCGGATATTAGTTGACAACATTGAACGAAGACGCGTTTGAGTTTGTTGTTTTGCTTTCACGAGCGTAGCCGTGTTGAAACACTAACACTTGTAACAGTAAAGAGATTTTCGTCTCTTTATAAACACACTTGCTAAACCCCAGTGGAACGAACAAAAGACACAGCGGACAAGACAGTTGTCGTAAAAAATATATTTGGACAAAAAGGGAAACACACAGATTGGCAGAAAAACGTGTCCGTCCGACTTCGAGTGTCGTCTCGGCTAGCTTAGTTTAGCTGTTGTCGTGTGTGACGTTGGGTGTGTGACGTTATTGCGTCAGCGCTGATTGGTTGAAATCAAAAGACGCGCTTGCGTAAATTTTCGCGCTGACGCACGCACAGCTGAGAGCAGCGGACAAGCTGGAGTGGCGTCGCCACAACAGTAATAATATCCTCGTCTCGCAATCTCATTGGCCTCGCCGTATCTCTGAGATTTCGAAATTTCGGCGAGAACGGGAGCCACAAAGGGTGCATGAGCCCGATCACAGGCCCGAGCCCGAAGCAAACCCGTGATTTCATATTTTATTTGGGAGGACTCGGGAGGAGGAGGGGTGATTGCTGA